GTCTCTCAATGGGAGGCCAGTACTCAGACCAGGCACTTGCCCTAGGTATGAGCATTGCCACGGCTCTTTGCTCACATATGAGGTGCTTGTTTCTCTCTCGAATCCATCAGAGCTTCTTTGCATACACTGGACTTCCCCCAGAAAAGAATGGTAATTATTTTGTCTGGGTTTTTCTTGTTTCTATGAGCATGGCCATTTGCATCTTTCTGCATCCTTACTGGGGGCAGAAGTTCCTCACATGTCTTGAATTGTCAAATAACGAAAGATGGTGAAAGAACTGTCTTTTCCATTCTGCCGCCTTACCAGGTGTCAGGAATTCAAAAGATTCTTCATGCCTGAATAACATCAATACTAAGATAAACCTACCCACTCAGGGCATGATACCAAAGTCAGTGTCCAAGAAGGTATACTATATGCCAAAGAATGGCTGACCCAGCCAGTCCATGAGCAACTCCCTCCTGGGAAAGCTGTATGTGACTTTGTTTGACCTCCTGAAGCATCAAGTTTTTACCTCTATTGATTCAATGTCCAGAAGCTCCCAAGCCATGTCCAAAATTCAGTACTCCAAATTGTTAGGAAATATCACTTCGTGTTTTTCCTGTCTAGTTGGTCTTCTGCAATATACATATGAAAACACATGCTTCCAAAATAGCTCTTTTACAGTATTGCTATGCACTCCCACACTTCACAGGCACCGCCATATACAAACAATAGATAATTGTGAATGGATTATTGTGAACCCCATTTAACTGTTACTAGAATTGCTAATGAAGTTTGTGAGTGCCAGCAAATAACCTTACCTTCTCTTAGTTCTTAAAGAAGACTCAACTGGCTGTCTTCACTTTTTAGAATAATTTGTTGGAAACACATCCTTAATAAAGTTTGTAAAAAGAAATTTATAAGCGTGCTGAGGAATGATCATTATTTTCTGGCGAGTACACTGCTTACAGCATAATGGCTAAAATCTTTTGTTAATATATTGAATTTATCAAGTGGAACATTTTCTGGTGAATTATATTTGAGGCTCCTTCCTTTTCAGCCATGTATTATAATATGATGTGAGCTTCAGTCAGTTCTGCCTTCTTATAGAGAGTATTTTAATCTGCTCATCTCCAAAATACAAGTCCAACAATTAAAAAAAAAATAAGTTTATTCGTGTCAGTCTTATGATGGTTCCGGTGGCATTAATATTTTATGAATGGAGAGAAGTGATGCTTTCAGTGGTGTAAGCTCCTCAAACTAAGTCTTATCTTTTGTGATGCCAGGCCAGTCCTTCAGGAAGTATCTTGTTAGATTTGTAGTTCCCTGCTTCCTTCTTCATTCTTTTATGGGGCAGGAAAGTGTTGAATGCCTAGTGTATATTCCTCCCACCCAAATATATTGAAAAAGAGAGGAAATGTTAGCCAAAATCCATTTTGTAAATTGTGACCCAATAAAAAGGGCCATGGATCAAGGATATGATTCATTCTGGGTAATTGTAAAAACAAAAGCTTGCTTTATAAGTTTGAATTCTGTACTCCCAGGATGATTCCCAGGATCCCTGTGGAAAGGATAGAAGTGCAGGAAGGAACTTTGTTTCCAGGAATTCATTTATCATGCTCATACTGACATGGAGAATTCCAGCATACGGCATCAGTTTTGATTTTCTTTTATGCTTCCCATTGTTTCTTACTCCAAGGAAGATCCTCACAGTCAACAAGCATGGTATTTATAAAACTTATGATTTCTCAAGTTACTTCAATAGAGGCAGGATGGCTATTCCCATTCTACAGGGGCTATGAAAGTTTAAAAGAACTGAAAACTCTAGACTTATTGTATCACGTTTGCGTTGATTTAGGCCTGTCAGCTTGCATTCTTTCCTTATGGGTGATTTTGGTGAGTGCTTACGTCTTAAGTTAAATTACTCAAGACAAGTAAACCAAACAATGTTACTAATTTTTTAATGAAATAATCCCTAAGTGTCTAATACTATTGTGACCAAGGATAGTCTATTTAAAAAATAATTCCCTCTAATTTGTTGTCTTGTTTTGTTTTGATTTGATTGGGATAGGGGAACACAATGAAGAAAACCATGCGTAACTTTCTTTGCATGAATTCTTTTTGATTCCATAAGAGTGAGCATTTTCTGATATGCTTGGCCTGGAATTTTCTTTATTGGGGCATTAAAATTGAAAGTAGCAAGTAAGAAATGAAAAACTAATTCTGTTTCCAACAAATGCATGGTATTTGTGTGCTAATACCAGGACGTGTACGCTCTTGCCGATATCTCTTCTCTTGCCAGATGAGGTTAGTACTCGGGTTGCTGAGGTATTTCCCAGGAAGCAAAGAGACTGAGGGAGTGACTTATGACTCCTGAAAAGGCCTGAGCTCTTACCTCTGGTTCCATTGATTCCTTCAGTAGCAGACTACAGATCCATTCAGAGTAGAGTTTATCCCCTGGCAAACCTGATAGAATTGTAGATCTATTACCTGCATTCCAATGTTGATTTCTCCAGAGCCATGCTTGATATTCTTTGGGAGCAGGAATAGATTGCAAACCTTTCATATATTCCATTTTTCACTTTATTTCATTTTCACATTGCTTTATTCCTTCCACAAATACTAGGAACATTATGCTAGTGACAGACACAATGGTAATAACCTATTTCCTATTCATTTGAGATTACATATTATAATACATCAATCTTGATAGGAGAAAATATAAATAGTATTTTGCTGAAATAATTACAGTATTGCTGGTGTTCATAGCTTTAGAGATTTTAAGTTAAAAATGAATTAAAATTGCTATATTATATTGATTAAAGGAATTCAATAGAATGGTAATACCTAATAGTATGACAAAATTGAATATTGTAGTTGTTATGCAAAGAAAGAAAAAATTCAACTCCAGTTGTTTCCTCCTTATCCATTATTGGTCTCATCTTCCACTTTTATGATGCCTCCACTGGGAACCGCATATCTTATTTAGTTTTACCTTAAGGATAAATTGTATGGCGTTAATAATAAAAAGCTAACATAAATCTGAGAGGAGAGACTGTACTGGGAAGGTACTGTACTGGTAAGAATTTTAAGAGTTTATGTAAGTGTCAAAAATATATACATTTAAGCGTTTTTTATTATTTAGATTTCTCTATCGTGAAAGGAATATGCAATCCTCTTTCTGATGTGCCGTGAAGTACAAACTCGAATGTCACGTTTTCCCTTTAACTGCTACATCTTCACCATTAGTACCAACGTTCGTGAGTGCAAGGGCTTCATCTACTTTACTGCTCATGTCCCCAGCATCTACCCCTGGCACAGCGTAGGGACTCAATGATAATTTGTTGAATGCGTTGATTCTCTGTTCTTACAATTACATGCATTTGTACGGTATCCTATAGCTTTCAAAACATTTTTACGTAGGTTATCTCATTTGACAATAACAACAATTTTGTGAGAAAAGTAAGACAGATATTTTATCCTATGAATAAAATTGCAATTCAAGTGGGTCATGACGGACATAGGATAGGAAGGGGTCAAGGTCATAATTGTCTGTTGGTTTTTTATATCAATCATCATCATTCAATAAATGCTTATTATTGTTATTGGCCAGTCACTGCACTAAATATTTTAACTGAATGATCTTATTTATCCCTTATAACAACCCCATGATATAGAACTATTCTTATCCCCACTTTAGAGATGAAGAAACTGAGGCACAACAAAATTAGGTAACTTATGTGAGGCCACCCAGCTATTGTGTCAGCACTGGGATTTAGGCTCAAGCGATGTGAGTTCACAGCCTAAGCTCTCAATATGGCCTAACCACTGTGCTATAGTTTTTAGGATGTCCCTTTAAAAAGTTTGTCAGTGTGTATACATGAGCCAAATAACTACCATGGTGATTTCTTAATGACTTTATTAAATTATTTGCTATTATTATAATAGATGCTTATTGAATGTTTCTATAAGTTTGTAAGCCAGAATTGATTATTGTTATAGGTTATGGGTAAAGAGACAATACAAGAGAAAAAAAAAAAAAGGAAATGTAGAATAAGGTAGTCAGACAGGTTGCCAAGATTACAAGAGAGATAGATTGGCATTCTTCTATTATAGAATAAGGCACCTCCCAGGTGATGGAGAATGAGTCAGAAAAAAATTTTTTCAAAACAGCTGAATATTTGTCAGGTCAGGGCATACCTACAGTCTTGTAAAAGGGTCTGCAGTCAGAGGAGAGCCGACTGGTGCCATCCAATTGGGATGATCATGGCAGGAGAAAACTTCGTTGGAACTCTGAGCAGTGTGGCTTTTTAGTGAATGTTCTAACCTGCCCCTACCAGTATAAATGTTTGGAAGTTCCATCTCCAGCTTGAGCTCTCTTCAACTACTTGTTAAGAAGTGCACCTCACCCTGACTCAAACATACACAGCAACTGAGAACACACTAAATGAGCCCTTGCTAGAGAGCAGAAGCCTAGAGATAGTTCCATTACCAATAAGCTGCCATAGTTGAGAGTATGAGAACTATTTATGCAGGGCAAATATAAATCAAATTTGTTCTATATGGAGTTTGACTTACATATGCAAAACAGTACAGTAATGAAGTGGGGAAGGTAGAGCAGATTCATTAACATTATTTATAACCTGTAAATACCAAAGGCTAAATTCCAAGATGGCAAAATAGTAGAAAGACCACTGGACCTGGGCTCTCCACCATCTTGGCAGATAATGTGCTGGGCTGGCCTTGGACAAATCATATCACCTCCAAATTGTCATTGCCATGCTGGTCATATTCTATAGGCTGAATTACAAATCACATCTAATCATACCTAAGATAAATAGGCAAATTTATCAAATAGTTTTTTAATATTTTTCAAATGCACACATTAAAATAGGTGTCTGATATATAAGGTACATTTCTTTAACATTAATTCTGCACCCATTGTCATTTTGGTACTTCTGAAGGTTATCCTCTCTTGCACCCTAAGTCATCTTTTCTTACTCAAGTTTTCTTTTCCATAGAGCAAATTGGCCAGGAGATGTTGGAAAACCTCAGTCACGACAGAGAAAAGATCCAGAGAGCACGTGAAAGAGTGAGTAGAAGCGGTGTAGTCTTTTCACAAATTCAGTAAATAAGACATAAAATAAAAGGTCTGTGGCATATGCATAGACATTCACAATTACATAGATGTAAGAATGGCTAGGGTGAAGGAGGGATGTAGAGTCTGGGGAGAGGAAAAAAAAGAATGTGGGATGGAGCAATCAAGAATAAACTGCCTCTTTATGTACCTCCCCGCCCCCCAGAATGCCCCCAGGTAGATATTTTATTTAGCTCTATAGCTGAGAAGAAGGTCATTGAGGGAGATTTTGGAGTATGTGAAGTCTTTCAGAGTGAAAGCTGTAAAATACTCATGTCTCATCCTCCCTGAATTCCTTTTGTTTCCATTTATATTTCTAGGACTTTGCATATTCTTAAATTAGAGATTAGTTACCAGATATTTATTAAACTTTATCAGCCTATCAGGCATTTGCTTTTATATCCAGTTCAAATATCCAGTTTAAAGCTCCTGGGATCTTCTATTACATGTAATTTTCTAAACCTAAGAATTTTCAGAGATTGTAATAGATGTCAGAAATGTATTTTCGTGTATTTAAGCATTTTTTATGGGTTGGATTTTCTATCATGAAAGAAAATTGCTGTTTTCCAGTGCACTTTAAAATAATCCAATTGCATGAAGTTTGATTTGCTTTGTTTTAATGCTGCTTTTCTCCTCCTAGCTTCGGGAAACAGATGCTAACTTGGGGAAGAGCTCCAGGGTTCTGACAGGGATGTTGCGAAGGTAAGAGCAAGGTAGGGACCTGTCTTCCTCTCTCTTCCTTTGTTTAAAGTAAGTTTTTCATCTAGTTGCAACTGGGCATTTTCAAGGCGTGCAAGCTTCTGCTCTTAGTACCCTGTGTCAAGACCCTTTTGAAATGACAGAGCACTGATATTAGCTCTTGTTTGGACAGGGACACACACTGAGTAACTTAGATTAGAGAGAAGGTTTGAGCCAGGGGGGTTACCTCAAGCCATGGAAAAAATTAGGGTTAGACATGAAGTGTTTTTTCATAGCCTGAGGAACGCCCCATGGCAGTAACAGACTGATTTTATTTTCTATTTTGATAGCCTCCTTCTTATGCAGGGAATGCAGGCCTGCAGTATCAGGAGCACACTTGGTATTAGTTTTGCTCTCTGTTGCCTTGTTTTCATTTCTTTTTTAAGAGATGCTGTTTGGGGAAACATTTAGATTTTGTGTATACTTAAGATGATTTTTAAGATTTAAAGAGTCTCTGAATAATCTGAATTCACATGTGCAAGCAAACAAATGTTAATGTTTTATATGTGTAACTAACCTTTGATTGATGGAAAATATTCTGGGGAGAATGTGAAAATAAATGAATGAGTGTAGGTAATATTCTATATTCTGGTGTCTTTGGAGGGGAGTGAGAAATGTTTTTATTGTTCTGAAAATTGGAGCCAATTTTTTACTTAGGTATATTCGGCATGGAATTATTTTACATTCAGAATCTACCAAATAAGAGTATCATCTAGCGTAACCTTCAGTTTGGAACTGTGGATAGAAATGTGAATGAGGAATGTTGGGAATCAGCTCTAGAATAGCTACTAGAATTTTAAAGAGAATTTTGTTTATCATTGATACTATAGAAACAACTATAAAAATAAGTAAAGTCTTCTCTGATCATGTATCTATATATAATAATTTGCTAAAAGTATGTTTACTATGTTAGACATTGATTGCATAATCAAATGTATAGTTGCTTAGTCTTCTATAGGCCAATGTGGCCGATGCGATATCTCGATCAGGCTGATCAGTCATTGCCAACCAACGTGGACCTAACTCCACATGCCCCTCCTTTTCCTGCACACACATCTGATTCAGAACCATAAACCACCAAATTCTCTGATTAAGAGTAATATGTAAATAACCTAGAAAAACTCAAAATCCACAAAGGAGTGGCCATTGAAAGGAATGCTTCAATGCCTATAGACGATGAAAAAGAAAAAAAGGAAAAAGTCGTCTATTGCTTCCCTGGGAGGGCCCCTGCCATGTGAGCTGTAACGAATATTCTGCATATGTCTCCATTTTGTCAAATCTCATTAAAGAGTCCTCCAGCTTTATGTCAATTGAGCTGTCCAGAAATCATTCATCATTTTTAGTGTAAAAAAAAATCATGCAGTTATTTAAATAATATCATATTAATGTTAAAGTTCAGCTGTCATTTAATGGTATGGCTTAATCAGATGTAGCATTTAGGAAAAATAGTTTATTCGGGCTCTGCGGTGGCTTTCAGGTTGGCAGATTCAAATAAGGATTTATGGGTTTCTAAACCAGTGTATTTCTGTCCGTGTTTCTGCTTGATGTACCTCACCCTTTTGTGCTGGGCACTGCAGACAGTTATTTCAACAAATAAAGCATCTCCTCATATTGTGTTTGAATAAATTTGCAAGTCATTTAGAGAGGATGAAGCACAAACAACTTCTCCAACCTTTGACTGGGCTTTCTGTAGGGAAATCACACTAACACGGCTGTTTCATAAGCCTATAGAAGAAAATTACCCTGCCAAGATCTACTTGGGGTTCTCTTTGTAGGCAAACTCAGTCAGTCACTGACTCATCTCCTTTTGGCATCTGTCTAGAGTATGAGCAGAAATAAAAATCCCCAGATGGACATCACCTTGCTATGTCTGAGCCAAGGAGACTCTTAAGTCCACCTGTGCATTTGGGTGACTGTGTTTTTTAACTAGGCTCAACTGGGGTCTTGGTATCAGCCAAGGTATCCAGATACTTTTAATCAGTGCTGTAACCCGAGTCTTGGGGACCAAATGCACATAGTGGTTTTCTTTCAGTTTCTAATTACTCTCCCACATGATATACAATTTATTTTGGACTTGAGAAAGGGCAAAAATATTTTACCAACTTCTTTACTTCATTATTTTTTATTAGTCCCTGGAAGAGAGAGATGGAACCAGAGTTTACGTACCGAAGTCTTTTATATAATGCTTTGATTTTGCTTCCTCTGTTACATCCCCTCAATCACATGATGTTCACTTCCAGCACTGCTGAGGTTTTATTTCAGAAAGAGAAGTCACATTGTTTTACCAAAACTGCATAGCTACATCGTGTGTCAACAGGTGCTTCTGATTTAAGAAAAGTTATAATATTGAACTGTGTGCTCATTGTCACCTTTACAAATGTATAAAAGAAATGAACATCCTCTTTGTGCAGTGTAGGTGTTTACCTGCATACAGCATAAGCTTATTTATTTTCATATGATAAATTCTATATGACTGAGAATAGTTAAATATTCTATAATATACCAAACCAAGAAATTATTTTATTTAAAAAAAAGATTACTGATTATTTTTAATTTTTAAACTTAGATTGTTTTTTAATTTGTAAAATGAACAGAAATGGCATCCATGGCCCCTTATTTGGGTCATTTTACTTACATTGATTAGACTCTTGTGAAGACGGATGAAGCCAACGTTCCATCAGTGCCAAAGTCTGCTCCTGATTATCTGTAAGACTGACCAAAAGCAGATAGAGAAATAAGAATGAGTAAGGAGCAGCCTCTCCATTCATGCTTTTTAATCTTTCATTAACTTCAAATGAGGTAAAAAATCTGTTTCCTTTCTTCCTCCCTCTCTTCCTCCCTCTCTTCCTTCCTTCCTTCCTTCTTCTCTTCCTTCATTCCTTTCTCTCTTCTGCTTATTCACTCCCTCAGTAAATATTTGATGCCTGTATATAAGACTTTGGCGATCCTCAAATGAAACCAATTTGATCCTTGCCTTCAGAGTGCTTCAGTCTAGCAGAGAATATGTGCATAGAAAGTGCTGTGGAAATTCATAAAATTACCCAATTCTCAAGGAAGCTATTGAAGATTCTGCAACTCTGGTTAATCCTTACTGGTCATTAAAAATTTAGGGCTCCAGGAAAACAACCAATAGAAAATATGATTTAACAAGCTATAAAACCAATGCGTTTGAAAAAAATTAGAGAAATGGAAGATGATTTATGGAATCATAACATAAACAAGGTTTGAAAGGAACTAAACTATGCAGAAAATATTGAGACGTATCTGGGTTAGTGAGATAGCAACTGATTCAGCCAAAATAAATCAATAAATTATTCTACATGTAACTACACTATACATATTACCAAGAGAAAGAAAGCAAAGGAGAAAAATTGGTCCATTCAAAATTATAATAGTAGTAAAACTTGACATCAGAATGCAGATATGGCTGATTTCCTGGAAAGTAATTTTTCTTCTGTCCTGACATAAGATGGAGATCTACCTAGGGACAAACTGGTCATTTCCTGACTCTGTAGACAGAGTTTTAAATAAAGTGGGATTCAGATAATAATGAAAATGGTCATGAAACAAATGACCATTCATATGGTGACTGGGGCCAAAGAAATGGATTGTTCATTGACTTTCACAAAATTTGATTATTATGATTGGTTGTCTTAAAGTGTCACCGTAGCACTGAGAGACTTAAATGTTGCTCTTCATGTATTTGCACGTATGTGCGTGTTTGTGTGTATATTTTTTCCGATACATTTGACCGGGAAGTCTTATTAGATCAAACAGTGCTGGCTATTGGTGAAATGAAAATAGAAGTTTTCCAGATTTTTGGTCAGAAAACAAAGGACATCATGATTCTATTTATTTTTATTACCGAAGAATGAATAATTTCTCAGTAAGACTATATTTATTTCTAAAAGTACCTGAAGGATTTCTTAGAGATGTAACGAAGTTATTAACTTGAGATCTCCATTGACGGAAATTTGGAGGACATGTTACAAATTTATATTGGCTCATTGTCTACATATATATGCTGGCAAAGGCTTACAAAAAGAAATGGCGTATATAATATTTTTTTAAAAACACCTTTTTCTGTATGATTACCTTAGTAGCAAATAATTTCCTCTCTCCTGCACATTGCCTATATTTACCCCTACTATTTCCACAAATTAAAAAAAATCAGAAGGGGCCAGCCCAGTGGCCTAGTGGTTAAGTTTGCGCACTCCGCTTGGCAGCCCAGGGTTCACAGGTTCAGATCCTGGGCACAGACCTATGCACTGCTTATCAAGCCATGCCGTGGTTTATATATAAAAGTAGAGAAAGATGGGCATGGATGTTAGCCCGGGGCCAATCTTCCTCAGCAAAAAGAGGAGGATTGGCAAGAGATGGTCGCTCAGGGCTAATCTTCCTCACCAAAAAAAAAACAAAAAAAAAATCAGAATGTTTCCTTCAGAAAGTGAATTCTGTTTATCCTTCCAGCATGCATTAGTAATTTCTTAAGCATGTAGCTGTTGAGAGGTCTTTTGTAATTAATCTATAATATAAACAAAGCATATGGTATTAAATGCAGTTGACCTAGCTAGCACTATTCATGTTACTATTTAATACATGTATTTTTGTTAGAGCTACTTCTGAGTCAATCTGGGGAATAACTGCCCCTCTCTTTGCTATCACATTTTGCATTTTAAGCATGGTTTTGTTACTTTGTTAGAATGACAGGTAAAACATCTGGAAAACTTAAGTGTACTGTCAGAATGATTCCTAAGGGTAAGTATACCAGAAATACCAATGCAAGATGTATAAGCAACAGAAATGTAATTTTTTTAAATAAACAGATTTATTCTTAAAGAAATATGTGGTGACTAGATGTTTTTAAATCTTCTTTAAAAATTCATTCTTTTCCCTGCCCTCTTTTTGCTCAGGAAACATTCTGTTATATTTTAATTGTTCTTATTACAATGTCTGAAAATTCAACAGTAGAGAG